CAGTGATGCAGTCTTGGCTACAACTTGACTGCAGTCTTGAGAGAGACTCTGAGCCACAAACACCCAGGTAACTCTCCTGGATTCCTGACTCTGGGAAACTGCGGGAGATATTACTCACTTATTGCCTTTTTTTTTTTTTTTTAAAGATTTATTTATTTATTTATACAAGCACTGGGTAGAGTCAGAAGTGCGGGAGGGTGAGAGAATTCACCAGAGCCAGAGCGGGGAGCAGAGCAGGCAGAGGGACCGAAGTACACTGCTGAGGGGAGCAGCGGGCGGCAGGTGCGCCATGTGGGACCCTCCTCCCTCCGGTGGCCCGGGAGCAGCCGGGGATTGATCTGGCGCTGCAGAGGCTGCAGGCAGCTTCGCAACCCAGCGCTCAACCGCTGCGCAACGGGGAGGTCCACTTATTGCTTTTAGCTGCTTTTTTTTTGGGTAAATTGTTATGGGTGGCACACAACTAATACAGTATCCAAAGAGAGAAGTGTTGCACTTTGATTTTGATTTGCTCTATATTAACAATGATTTTCTCTCTATTAAACATATCACTTGATTTTAAGATTTAAGAATTTTCATAGCTAATAAGATATATTTTACGATTTAAGCAATCTTCTTACTTGAACTTGAACTTCAGTTCCCAACTGTGATGCAATTGAACCAGGTCAGCCAGACAGAGGCTATGATGGGCCACAATAACTACCCTCTAGTTATTACCTGCCTCCCCCCATTCAAACACTGATGTAGGCGCTGTTGTGAAGGGATTTTGTGAAGGTCTTCAACCAGTTGACCTCAATATAGGAAGAGTACCCTAAGTTCAACTGTCCTAATCAGGTGGGTGTTTAAAATGTCTGTGCTCTTCCTGAGCAAAGGGACTCAGCGGGAGACGGAGTCAACGTGAAGAGGATACTTCACATTGCTGATGCTGAAAATGCAGGGCCAAGAGCAAAGAACGCACTTGGGTACTAGAAGATGGGAACAGCCGTGTGGCCTTCCTGGGGGTGAGTTTTCTACAAGAGTCCAGGGATATGGGGTAGGCAGGGATTCAGGTTCAGTGTCAGTGAGACTTATTCTAGAAAGGGAAGTGGAGGGAAGAGGGACTGAGCCCCAGTCCATGGGTCTCTATCTGGTTCCCTCAGACCGCTTGGGTTCAGGGTTCTGGGAGACGGTGTGAGAGTCCCCCCTGCTGGAGAACAGGAATCCGCGCAAAATCCCAGGTCAGGGCCACCGGGGCAGGGCGGCTCAGTTTTACGTGGAACCCATCTCCCACTTTCACTTTTCATTCTGTCTCGGGTCTGCCTGGATACTCACGACGATGCCCAGTTCCTACTCCCAGTGGCTGTAAGTTTCTGGAGACGCCAATCGGCGACACCGCGCTTCCCGGTTACAAAATTCTTCAAGGCAAGAAGCATCTGCTTAATGGGGGCCCTAGCACTCCTCCTGCTGCTCTTGGGGTTCCCGGCCCCAAGCGAGGCCTCGGACGGTGAGTGTGGACTCGGGAGGAAGGGGCTTCTGCGGAGGAAGGAGCAAAGGGAGGAAGGGGTGTCCCGGAGCGTACCCCTCGACCCGGGCTCGGAGACCTCGCCCCCCTCCACACCCTGACCCTCCCCTGCCCACCCAACTCCCGCACCCTTCTCGTACCTCCTTCCCGTTTCCCGACCTTATCTCGCCGCTCCTGTTCTCTCTTAGGGGATCCTTCCCCGGGCCCCATCGCCGTCCGCGCGCGCGCGCGGGGCGGAGGGTCAGCCCGGGTCTCCCTCCCGCCCCCAGGCGCCCACTCCCTGAGCTACTTCTACACCGCGATGTCCCGGCCGGGCCTCGGGGGCCCCGGGGAGCCCCGCTTCATCGCCGTGGGCTACGTGGACGACACGCAGTTCGTGCGGTTCGACAGCGACTCTCCGGGTCCGAGGGAGGAGCCGCGGGCGCCCTGGGTGGAGCAGTTGGGGCAGCAGTACCGGGACCAGAACACCAGGATCTACCAGGACACCGCACGGGCTTTCCGCGCGGGTCTGGGCGCCCTGCGCGGCTGCTACAACCAGAGCGCGGCGGGTGAGCTCCGCGGGCCGGGCCCAGTTCTGCGGTCCCCTAGGGTTGCCCCGAGGCTCCGGGTCTCAGCATCACCGGGGTCTCCCAACAGGACCCACCCCCCCAAGAAGTGGCGCGCACGTTCTTTTCCTGTGGGCGAAAACCGATGGGAGGGCCTCTCCCTGGGCGGGGCTGACGCCGGGCAGGGCCGAGCGCGCGGGGCTAACCGCGGGGCGCGGCGTCCAGGTTCCCACACCTACCAGTGGATGTGCGGCTGCTGCAAGGGGCCCGACGGGCTCCTGCTCCGCGGATACTGTCAGTTCGCCTACGACGGCGCCGAGTACATCGCCCTGAACCCGGACCTGCGCTCCTGGACCGCGGCGGGCCCGGCGGCTCAGATCACCAGGAACAAGTGGGAGGTGCAGAGTCAGGCGGAGCACTTCAGGGCCTGCCTGGGCGGGGAATGTGTGCAGTGGCTTCTCAGACACCTGGAGAAGGGGAAGGAGACTCTGCTGCGCTCAGGTATGAGGGGCCATGGGGTACCTTCTTGATCGCCCCAGTGGCTGGAGCAGGCATCCCTCTATGAGAGATGAAAAATAGGGTCAGCACCATCCCTACAGTGGGTCACAAGATGGAGGAATCTACCTGAGTGTTCAAACTGGGTACCGGAGAGCGACTTGCCCAGAGTGCCCGTCTTTCTGGACAAGGAAGGGATCCAGTCTTTCAAGGAATGGAGGAGACATCTCCGAAAAAACGGGTCGGAGTCCCCTTGACTCTGGAGTGCCTTTGGGAACCCTGGGGGACTTTCTCAGGCCTTGTGATTGGTCCTTCACCCAATATGTTTGAGGTCCCAGTACAGTTTTTCTGGGTCACTGGGCCTCCAGTAGGCCAGGACCAGAAATCCCGGTCTCCCTCTCAGAGACCTGCTTCCTACACTACAATCTCTCATTCTAATTTAGAAATTTCCAAAGAATAGCAATTATCCTTGATGCCTATGTCCAGGCTGCTGCCTGGGTTTTGTGCTCACTTTCCCGTCCCCAGTTGTCCTGTCCACTCTCAGGATGGTCACGTAAGCTCTGCTTCAAGTAGTCCAAGACATATAAAGTTCCTGAATTTTCTAACCCTTCTTTTCAGATCCTCCAGTGACTCGTGTGACCCATCACCCCACCTCTGACCATGAGGTCACCCTGAGGTGCTGGGCCCTGGGCTTCTACCCTGCGGACATCACCCTGACCTGGCAGCGAGATGGGGAGAACCTGACTCAGGACATGGAGTGGGTTGAGACCAGGCCTGGGGGGAATGGAACCTTCCAGAAGTGGGTGGCTGTTGTGGTGCCTTCTGGAGAGGAGCAGAGATATGTGTGCCATGTGCAGCATGAGGGGCTGCTGGAGCTTGGAGTCCTGAAATGGGGTAAGGAGGGGATGTGAACACTGAGCTTCTGTTCAGGGGCATCAGGAGCCCTTCTTGAGAACTTCAGAGGGTCAGGATGAGGCCTGGGGCTCAGGGTCTGACCTTCCCTTCCAGTGCCAACTCCACAGTCCTCCATCCCCACCACGGGCATCATTGCTGGTGTGGTCCTTGGAGCTGTGCTCACTGGAGCTGCTGTGGCTGCAGCTGTGATGTGGAGGAAGAAGCGCTCAGGTAGGGAAGGGGGTGGATAGACCTGAGTTTTCTTGCCTCACTGGGGTATTTCAACCCAGACAGAATTAGTCTTTTTTTTTTTAAGAAAAAATTACAAATTAAACCACACTGTGAACACAGGGCAATATGAGTACTCTGTTTACTTCAGGCCAAAAAAATTAGAATTGATCTCTCTTTTTTTGAAGAAGAATGTGATTTTTATTTGCATGCCTAACAAGAGGGCAGATCTTTTGTGCTCATGAGCATAGGGCTTATCATTTGCCCAGGGGGCCATGATTTGGGATATACTTGACCCCACAGCCATCTGGGGTGAGCCTCTTTTCCTCTACCATGTTTCAAAACTCATCTGTGTTAACTTAGAAAAGCCTTATTTCTTGGAAATATGGATTTTCTGGAGGCCAGGAAACTTCAACTTGGCCCTACGTAGAGCCTCCGTGGTCTGTATCTCCTTGTTCTGCAGCTTGGTGTAGATGGAGATAGTGACTTGGCCAGTGTGGATCCTGGCCATGGGGGCTTCCCAAAGCTCCCCCGCATATCTGTCTGGAGTCTTACATCAGGGACAGCATGAAGTCAGACATGAAGGACCCCAAAACAGATTGTATTCAAGGTCCCTTAGAGCAACCCATGTAAGGAATAAACCACATACAAAGAGAGAATTTGTCATTAATGGGAAGAACCATATAAACACAGGTGCTTTCTTAGCCGGGGCCCTATTTGCTAATACTCCTTCTTAGAGCAAGTGTAAAAATGAAGGATGGATTTATCTCTCTTTTTTTTTTTTTTAATTTTCTAGAGGCATGTCTTATTTATTTATTATTTGTTTGTTTGTTTGGTTTATACATGCACTGGGTACAGTCAGAAGCGCGGGAGGGTGAGAGAATTCACCAGAGCCAGAGCGGGGAGCAGAGCAGGCAGAAGGACCGAAGTACACTGCTGAGGGAGCAGCGGGCGGCAGGAGAGGTCTGCGCGACATGCGGGACCCTCCTCTGGTGGCCGGGGAGCAGCCGGGGATAGAACCAGCGCCGCAGAGGCCGCGGGCAGCTTCGCAACCCAGCGCTCAACCGCTGCGCCACCGGGGAGGCCCTGGATTTATCTCTTAATGAATCTGGTCATGGGGACCTGATCCCATCAGTCACAGTTCAGAGGCGACGGTCTCTGCTGAGGACAGACTCCAGGACAGTAGTTAGTGCAGTTTCCTACATTTGTTTTCCGGATCCTGCCTGGATCTGTTATCACAGTTCTGGAAACTTCCTTGCGTAGCATGACTAGGCAGCTCCTTTAGGATCTCATGACTCGCTCTTTTCCGTGGCCTCTCATAAGATGCTTTATTCCTACAGATGGAACAGGCGAGAGCTACACTCAGGATGCAGGTAAATAAGGCAGGAGGGGAATCTATCCCTGAGCCCCTTGGCATAGTATAGATGGGAACCCAGGAGGAGAGTTCACACACTCAGCCCCTCTGCTCTCACTTTTGGGCTCTGACCATGTCTTGTTTTGTTCTCCTCCAGGCAGTGACAATGCTCAGGACTCTGGTGTGTCTCCCCCTTCTCCTAGAGGTGAGACCCTGTAGGGCTGCGATGGGAAGGGCAAAGTCCCCAGGACTGGGTTCAGGGGGGTTTTGAGTGGGACTTCTTGAGCATGTCATGGGCTGTTCAGAATGTCACCATTTATATGACTGACCTGAATTTGTTCATTACTGTTTTCTTTCATGTGCGAGACAGTTTTATTTTGGAGCAATGGAAGATTTATTCCGGTCTCATGTGATGACTGCCAAGATCCTCTGACTTTGTGTCCTCTACATAGACGCTACCTGTGTCTGCATTCCCAATAGCATAAAATGAGGAGGTGGGAGACTGGCCCACCAGGACCTTCCCCACACTGACCTTCCCTGATGGACTTTCTCGTTATAGAGAAGGCGAGGCTGGGCCATCTACATCCCTGCCTTAACTTCCCATTGTTCTGAGCTGCACTTTGTTACTTTCTTATTGAATTTGGTGCGATTTTGTTTTGTTTTGTTTTTTTAACTGGGAAATATGTGACTGAAAGGTTAATAAAGGAGAAAACTCCTGAATTTGAGAATGCAGATGAAGGGAGCACAAGAGCTTTCCTGTGTTTGCTGTGCTGAGTCTCTGCAGGTGGGGGCGGGAGAGGCTATGAGGAGCCGAAGGTACAGGGCCTTTGTTTAGTAGGTGCTTTGAAGTGGTCCCTCCTCAAGGGTCATCTCTCTGCTCCTTTGTCGTTGTCCTTCAGTAGCTCCTATCCCAGCAGGACCTGTGATCACAGGGACTCAGACCCCACATGGGCCTGTCCTGTCTCCAAGGTTGTGGGCAGTGAGGACTTCATGTGGGCAAGTCAGCCTAGATCAGGCCTGGGTGTGGCACTCAGTACCCAACTTTGGGAGTTTCTTTATGGTATCTTTGTTTCTGTGTGCCCTTATTTTTGTTTATGTTCAGAGTTCTGGTCTCATTCTTCTCTGGGTGTCCTCAGACAATGCAGGAGTCATTTTGCCTGTTATTGGCCCCACAAGACCTAGGGCAGCTCCTGCACACAATTTCTGAGGTAATAAGAGATGAATTTTCAGACTCCTCCAGCTCTTGCCCTCCTTCTAGGGCTTGATTGTTCTTTTCACCTTTCTCCACCATCCTCAAAGGAACCAGATTCAGGAATAAGCAGAGAGGACAGACCCCATAATTTCTTATCTTAGATAAGTTTCTGGTGGAATTCTTCTGGTCCACTCATTCACTTCTCTCTCTGTCCTCTGCTCCTATAATCCTGTTGGGTTGGAAAAGAACCTGTTAGTCCAGGATCATTGTTTTCTGAAGAAATATACTCAGGTGTTGTGGTTGGTGCAGGAGGGTTGGCGTGGGAGTGGGAGAGGGAGGAAGGGAGGGAAGAGGAACAGCACTTGTGAGAAAAACAGAGGCAGCATTGATGTCAATGTGGGTGCTGTAGCTGCCACAGAACTTGGTCTGCAGCTCCATGAACAAGATGTGCTGCCCTATTGTGCAGGTTCCCACTCTACACTGATCACTCAACTGATGGTGGTTGAGTGTGGGATAATGTGACACAGCTTTTGTATCCAACATCACTGGCGTAAAGATAGAAACATTGCTGGCCTTGTGGAGCATGAGCTCTGGTGGGGAGAGATGGACCATGTCCTAGAAGCATAGCTAATCAGGAAATGTTCATGTTAAAAGGGTAAGTGCTGTGGAAAAAATGTCACAGGGAATGGGATCCAGAGCATGGGGGGTGGAGGGAGAAGGAAGATAGCTGCTTTTTTGTTTGTTTGTTTTGCTTTTGGTTTTAGTCTAAATCTGCCCTTCAGCATACATTGACCACCCACCCCCCCCCCGCCCCACCAACCTTTCTCCCTTCCTTTGTGGTAATCACTAATTGGGCTTATAGTCTAAAGGTTATCTTTAATTAATTTATTTATTTTTAAAGATTTATTTATTTATACAAGAACTGAGGTACAGGCCAGAGGCGTAGGAGGGTGAGAGAATTTACTAGAGACAGAGTGGGGAGCAGAACAGGCAGACTGACTGAAATACACTGCTGAGGGGAGCTGTGGGCGTGACAGAAGTCTGTTGTTCCATGAAGGTAGCTCCCTCACTGGGGATTATACTCATGCTGCAGAGGCTGCAGATAGCTTCCTAGTGTTGTGCCTAACCCGTTGTGCCACTAGGGAGGCCCTTGGAAAGTCTTTATCCTCGTATTGGAAGGAGGGCTTAGCAGGACATAGTCTTGGTTGGTAGTTTTACCTCTAAATATTGTGAATATGTCCTTCCATTCTCTCTGCCCTGGTAAATTTATGCTGAAAATTCTGATAATAACCTGAAGGCAGAGATTTATAAATCACTTTTCCTCCCCTTAGGGACATTTCATGTTTTTTTTAATCTTGGCTTTTTCTTAGTTTTAAATCTTGGTGTAAATCTCTGTATTTAGATCACTAAGTGTTCTGTTTGTTTCATGAACATGTATTTTTAGTTTTTTACCCAGGTTCGGAAAGTTTTCAGCTATTATTTTTTGAATAAAGATCTCTGTTCTCTTCTCTCTCTCTTCACCTTCTGGGATCCCATTATCCTTATGCTGCCTTTCTAATGGAGGGATAGTTTTTGTAGAATTTCCTTACATTTTAATATTTTATTTCTCTTTCACTCTCCATCTGGTCGATTTCCAGGTTTTCTTCATGCTTGCTGATTCATTTCTTTTTTAGGTCTATTTTATTTCCATTGCTATCTATAACAATCTTGATCTCATTTATTGAGTTCTTCACATCTTGAATCCATTAAGTTTTAAATTTAAAGTTTCAGTTTCTGCCTTCTGCTTCTTAAATTTATTCTTGAGCTCATTGACTTGCCTTTCTGGTTTGTCCCTTTTAGGTACCTTTCTGAGTGTTAGTGTATCACTTTGGGTTTCTTTATGATAACTATTTTTAATTCTTTATCTATTAGGAAAATATAATCTTCCATGCATTTAAGTTTGAATTCTGGAGAGTAGTCGTATTTCCTTGAGGTGTCAAATGATCTGAAATTGTATTTTTCTGCCTGCCATTAGGAATCTGGATTAAGCAACTTAAAAGTGAGGTGCTTATTTTTTTACTTTTCCAGCAAGTGGTACTTATTTTATTTATTTATTTGTTTATATATTTTAAAATTTTTCTCTAGTAGGAGTTCTTGGTGCCAGAGGATCAGAGTGGACATTGTTCTTAATACTAGTGATTTTCTATTTTGATCTGTCATATCCCTGAAAGACAAATATAAATTATTTAATGCAACTTATAACTCTCTAAGGGCAGAGAGGAGCTAGGCAAAGGACATTTGTCAAAAATACTTAAATGACAATGAACCAGCAACTATCACTTGGGAAGAAACATCAGTTTGGGGGAAAAAATAGACATACAGAAAATCCTGGTAGTGAAAACTGAGGAAAGGGATGGTTTTGGCAATAAAGACAGTGAAAAGCTTCCATTATTCCTGGGACCTGGATAGAATGTGCATCCAGGAGGAGAATGTGAGATCACCCCACTGACTGATGATTCTCTACACAAGTAGGAAGTAAGAAGGGAAGGCAAAGACAGACATGCAAACTGCCTATAGTGTTGAAGACATGTCTCAACACACACGCGTGCACTCACAAATACATATACACACTTGCACACACACACACACACATACACACAGAACCAGCTCCAAAGGCAAGTGGTTTTTTTTTTTTGTTTTTTGTTTTTTGCTCCTAACATTTAAGGAAATCTCTGTCAAATCATCACTATCTCACCACTAAACTAACAGAACAGAGACTTCAGTGACCACAGACAAGCAAGGACACAGTCTATACAAAAATAGTTTGGGAAGGTCACTAGAAAAATTACAAAATTACAACACACAATGAGCAATGGAAACAAACCTCTGGGAGGATGAAATTTGGTTTTTAGAATTTTATCCCCTACACTTTCTAAATGTGTAGTTTCCAACAAAATTATAAGGTATTTATCTAAGCCAGAAAATATGACCAATTTACAGGAAAAACAGAAATTAACAAAAGTATTCCTGAGAAAGCCCAAATTTTGGATATACTAGTAAAGAATTGAAGTCAGCTATGTTAATTGAGTGGCTAATGATGATGTGGTATATAGAAACAATGGAATATGACTCAGCTATAAGAAAGATGAAATACTGACATTTGTGACAACCTGGAGGGAACTAGAGGGGATAATGTTAAGAGAAATAAATCAAAAGGATTATAGGAACAATATAAGGGAACCAAGTAAGACATCAAGGGAAAAAAATAATAACAGTAGAAGACACAACAAAACAAAAACAAACAATTATAAATCAGAGACATCCTGCAGGGGAGGAGGAGGGAGAGGGATCAGAGGGAGGGAGGGAGGAGCACAGGGGACTGTGGTGATGGTGCACGGGTGCATTGGGGAAGGAAATTCTATGGGAAATACACCTGGGGGGGGGGAAGGAAACATTGTTTGAAAAATGAACAATGATGTAAAAATATTTGTAAAAAATAAATAAATTAATAAAATAAAATAATAAAAGGATATCAAATCTGGAAAAAATAAATCAAAAGGAGAAAGAAAAATATAAAATAATTTCACTTATAAAATAATTTCACTTAGACTTCATTTCATACTTAGAGCTCATCCTTGACTTTCTGTTTTTAGAAAGCTGCTTTTCATAATATCTTCCTAGGTCAGTAGGCCTAAACCACAAGAGGACCTCCTGCTTTGAATTAAAATTCTCTGAGGCTAATTTTCAGTGGGGTTTGGAGAGTGCCTGACTAGGAGAATTCACTGTGAGGTGCAGGGTTAGATGTTCATGTAGGGGGTATCATGTTTGCATTTCTGAAAGGAAAGAATCCAGAAACCAGCTCACAAATGAATGTGTAGTTTCAGCATGTCAGGGTGGGGTCCTCAATGCAGGAGCTAACGCTATTTCTAGTAACACCAGGCACCTAGTTGGTGGCTGATGACTTGCCCTCCACTACCCACCACTGAACAAACATCAGAATTCTTGCCTTGGCCCTTCCATCAATTAGCTTGACCCACTGGATGTGAACAGCCTAGGAGTGTGATGGATCCTCAGATCTCAGTTACTCCTCTCGCTATTGTGGAGCTTCCATTCATATGACTTATGACCAGGTGGGCTCGCCAGGATGCTGGTGTCTTCACTCTCAAGGTCAACATCTTCTGGGAACCCAGGCCAAACCTTCAGGTTCTTGGGGACTGACATTCTGAAGCTCTGAAAGGGAAGTATCCATGTACTCTCACAGGTGTGGTGGATAAAAAACATACATTCATGGATTCATGTATATACATACTTACATATATATATATATTCTCATATATGTGATAATTTTTAATCTATACATTGATAGTATTTTTTAAAAAGATTTATTTATTCATTTTACACAATAACCGGGGTACAGGCCAGATGTGCGGGAGGGTGAGAGGATTCACCAGAGACAGAGTGGGAACAGAATAGGCAGACTGACGAAATACACTGCTGAAGGGAGCAGCGGGCATGACAGGAGAGGTGTGCTGTGCCATGTGGGACCCTCTCCAGGTGGCTGGGATCAAACCGGCGCTGCAAAGGCTCTGGACACCTTCACAGCGTGGAGCTAAACCATCTGCGCCACCAGGGGAGGCCCTAAATTGATAGTATTTTTAATGTTGCTTGCACTGGTCATCTGTACCCTCTAACCAAAGGATGGACCAAGGCTTGTGGAGGAAGAGTTCACTTCTTCTCTCCGAGGATCCATCAGTGGGGATTTCTACCCTGTAGACACCAAATGAGAGATTTTGTGCCAGGCTGAGATAATAAGGAGGCCTGGACTTCTTTTAATTGCTTCTAATACTATATTTTGAAAGTTAAGATATTTTTTATATTAGTAAATGAAAACCTGTTCAATCATGGAAAACTAAAAAGCATAGAAGAAATAAAGACCTGGATCTCTCCTCAGACATCATTGCTGACTGTGAAATTGTTGAAATGACAGTGTTAGTAGTGCTCCCTGGAGCTGTGCTTTGTAGCAGTCCTGATGCTCAGTCTGTGGTTTTCGATGTGCTTACATATATTAATGATGTATACAGTAAAAAATATTATATCTACTATACATAATCATATACACTGTTTTTATACTATATGTAATGTATGATTATAAAATTTTATGAAATAATACATACATGTGTGTTTATTTTACAAAGTTGGATTCCTATGTTGTAGATTGTTTACAGTGATACTTTTTGAAATGTGTTAACAACAAGTAGTTTTCTATGGTTGTAAACTCTGCATATATTTTACACCACTTTTACAAGCTGAGTGTCCTTTAGAAGAAGATTTATAACCAGCTCCCTTTCACATCTACCTGCTTTCATCACCTCTTCTTACAAATAATGATTTGACAAGCATCATTGTGCATAAAGATGCATATAGTTGGGACTTAAAAAATTCATAAACTATCCTGGTAAATATTAGGTCAAAGGCTTAAATATTTTCATGTATATGGTCAAATTTCTCTAAATTGTGGACATATTCATTCATTTAACACAGTTATTAGAACCTTTACCACGTGCTGGGGCTGATGCTGGGGACAGAGTGTTACAGAAGCAGACAGACCCTTTGCTCAAGGACATATATTTCAGTGATACTGAGAATAAACAACTAAAATCTTCTATAAGTGAGAGGGAATAGCTATGGAGAAAATATGCCGGGGAAGATTTCAGACTGAAATGCTGGGCATAATGTTTCTTTTTGTAAAAACAAAATTTTATTGATTTTCGTATTCAATTACATAGTTATATAATTTGGG